GGACATTTAATTGAATAATGACTAATAGATAATGACCAATGGTCCTACATTTAGAAATAAAAACATATGGTCCTATATTGAGAAAGTCATTATGTTTTAGTCCTATTTAGGTAAGTTACTTCCTAAAAGCTAAAAAAACTGAATCAACAGAGAACAATCTTGATTGACCCGGCCCTCCACGCTTGGTCGACATCCGGTCATGATCTAAAACACCGAGGCTAAGGTGCATGCATTCCCTTTTCGAATTTAAAGTTTGGCCACTAATATCTCTTAAAATGTATTAGCAAAAAATTATTAAAAAGAATAATTTAAAGCATTTTCTGATACCAAGAATTTGGCATAATTTTTATATTTGAACTCATTGTATATTTTTATATATATTTAATCAAACTTTTGACATGATATCCAAAGCGAAACAAATAATTTAATAGAAATGAATAGGTACCCAACATCAACTAATAGAATTTATAAATACTCCACATATTATTATTAATACTACCCCACCATCATACTTTCTCCCACTAACTTTTTTTAATGTTTCTTTGAATTTTTTTAGAAAATAATATCAAAATAATAGTATTATTATTATTATTATTATTTTTATTATTATTAATCAACCTATAATTATTAACCATCTACCTTTTCTTATTGATGTTCCACCTTTTTATAGTAATAATATTATCATTATTATTAATACCCGACTTCATATTTTTGTATCACGATTTTTTTAATTTTTTATTTAGATGTAAAAAACTGATTTATATATTAATGTTTGAAATTGCGTTGAACTTTGAATGTGATACTTCGTAAATCTATTTTTCCTTGAGTATAGATTTTTTTTATCTTTATCACAGTGGAATATGCAATGCTAATATTGGAAAAAATAAACACATTTTTTATAATCTCAAAATTAGGTTTTCTCCTTTTCTTTATACACATAATAAAGAATATTGTATCATATAAGTTATCATTTATATATTACCATTATGGTACACGAAATGTTATCATTTATATATTCGGAGTATTATTTATTTATGTTAAGGAATATTATTTTGACTCTAATATTTTCTCAGTTTCATTATACATTCATATAATAATAAAATGCAGTTATATATTACCATAAAATACACAAACACCATATATAATTCAAAGTTAATGGGCGGGAAGATGATGTCAACGGGCCTGTTTGGTAATAGCGGTAGCGATTAGCGTTAGCGTTTTGAAAAGGCTATCTAGGGCAGCGTTTAGCGTTAGCGTTTTCAAAGTAATCTGCACCGTTAAAATTTTATCCAAAACGCTAACGCTAATCTCTAACGCTACTCCCAAACAGATCTAATATTTCCTCTACTTTTTAATGAAGTATCGATATTGATTTTATGTTGGGAGATTTTTCCCACGTCGGAAAAGTAACAAAAAAGTCCAACATATAATTAAGTCTACGGTGAGGTTCCCATGACGTTGGTCGTTGGAACCTCATGTCATGGGCTAACCCGAGGGCGCTCCGGTGTCCCGTTCGTAAAATTGACGGTTCCATTACAAATGCTTTTTCTAGGAAAGAAGGAGTAGTATAAAAAAGATATTTTACCCGTTCATGAAATAAAGCTACAGTTTAAATAAACTTTAATTTGATCATCCGTGACATACAAAACTCAATTATTAAACTTTATTTATTCATTCTTTAATATCACCCAAATTAGTTTTAAACGCAACTTTAATCATGCCGAGTATATACTAAATTTAGTATGGAGGAGTATAAAAATGGTGAACGTTAAAGTGTGATTTTGATAATCTTTTCGTTCCAAATTAGATTTAATTTCAGAATTCAAAGAACGTGAATATTCTGTGTTTTTAATTAAATATAATATTATTTACAAGTTGGTATAGAACTTGGAATGTAAGTACAAGTTGGTGGCTGCAATGAAAAACAAGCATGTAAAGCATGAAACCTTTATAAGTGTCAAGCACAGAACCTCATGTTTACGTCAACTGACTAAAATTATAATTGCTGGTGGGCGTTGCGTAGTTAGCAATGAAAGATATGCCAAGGGAGACAACTAAACTAAGCATAGGGTTTCTACAAGTACTAGGTGCATGCTTCACTCTTTGCCACCAATCTGCAATTAAATCTAATTTACCTTCTCTTAGAGATTGTCAGCTGGGTCTGAGAAAAAAGCTTCGGGGATGACTCTAATCTTTTTTTCTAAAACTATAATTATTGGTGTTCTGCCGGTTGTCATCTTTTTTATTTGTTTTTAAAATAATCATGGAGTAAAATGATAGGAAAAAAAGAGTGGTGCTTTTGGAGGGTCCAGTTTAGTTCATTCAACCCGCGAGTCGGTGTGGCTCTATTTGCCACGTGTGTGTCTCTGCATTTGGCAGTAAAAAAACATGTAACGTTGCAAGAGAAAATCGAATAAAGTGGGAAAAAGAACGTAAGATTTGTTTAAAAAATAAAAATAAAATTAAAGTTTTGCCCCTAGGTAATTTTTAAATGAAAAAGCTAAGAGCCAAAGAAGAAAAAGGTGGTAGAAAAAAGTGAACTTAGCCTGTTTTGCCTCTAGTTTTAAAATGAAAAAGAGTGAAAGAAAAAAAAAAGAAGGGTCGTAAAAAACGTGAACTAAGGCCGTTTTGCCCATAGTTTTCAAATGAAAAGAAGCGGAAAAAAAGGGAAAGAAAACGTAGACTATGACGAGTTTGACGGAATGTTCACGTGCAAGTTTCGAGCAAAAAAACTAAAAAACTAAATGGTGGAAGTTTACATTCAAAAATAACAAATTTATAAGTTCTGTAATTTTTCTTATTTTCCTTCACCTAAAATTAAATCAAAACAAAAACCGACACTAACTATTCTCGAGGAAAAAAACTGAAAATGAAAAAATAATAATAAAAGAACGTATTCAAATCCGGATTTTGTGGCCACGTTGTGTCTTACGTGTTTATATTAATAAAGTAATTGAACGCGTACAATTTAAAAAAATCGAATAAAATAAAAAATACGTAACGTATGCTAGACATGAGAAAAAAAAGATTATCAAAAGAAAAAAAACGTGAACTTTTTTAGACGGTTAGACATGTCAGAAACGGGCGTTTCCCTCGTCACAGATCCGGATTTTACGGTTAAAGGGTCCCGGTTTTAGCGGTTAAAAACAAAACAAGAGAGCAATATATACTCCCTTTATTAAAAAAGGGGGTGGCCGGTTTTGTCAATGCTTAGTCAGTCGCACGTAAGGAGGCAGTGCATGACATAACACGTGTACCAAATATAATAAATACCCTCTCCATTCTTAAATTATGTCTATGTTTTAATTTTAGAAGCTCAAACATCCACTCGACATGTCTCTCATCTAGAGTCTGGAAGATAGTGAAGAAGATAAATTATGATATATTCTTAATCTGGTTTTTAAAAAGGATACCTCATGCCTGATGCGTACTAAGAGTTACGGAGCATTACAAAAAATAGAATGCATATATTCAGGAGCGGATCCAGTGCAAGGCCATGGGGGGCACTTGCCCCCAGTCAAAGCTTATAATTATCAAGAGTTTACATTGGTTAAGTTGATAGTGCTCCCATTCTAAAATGTGTGGTGCCCCCACTAATTTTTGTAAGTTTTACTCCCCAAATATAAAAAAAAGTTGGGAACAAAATAATGTGTATTTTTATATTAACAAACATTTCAATATTAATTTCATTAAAAAATACTTCGTAACATTTACTCCTAAGCAAGTTATTATTTACTTTACAGGTTTATACTTATTTTATGATTCTTAATACAGAGTTGCTATAAAATAAAATAAATAGTCTATTCTAAAACTTAAATATTATAAGTTTTTCATAAATTATATTATATTATAAAAATCATATACATAAAATTACATTTTTAAAATAATTACAAACACGCAAGTAACAGCCACCCACCAACTTCCAAACAAGGCCTTAGTTTATTAGCATTATTAATGATTGTTTGAATATAATCTGAACGTGAAATCTTTAAAATTTGATAAATGAAGCCTAATTATAGAGTAATATATTTTGTACATTACATTTTACCATTTTAGAACATTTTAATTTTAATTTTTCAAAAGATGATTTCAGATGAAATCTAAAATATATTTTTTCAATTTACGGTGGCTCTTTATAAAAAATCCAGGGGGTGGAGTGGAGGCGGACTACCATGAACCCTAGTACTAATGTGCCCCCGATCATATTAGTTTCTGGATCCGCCACTGCATATATTGTCATTGCCGGAATTCGACTCTAATATCTATGAGCTTGCATCCTCTCTTTGGACCAGTTAAACTACCCATGTGGTTTTATTTGTTTTTATTCTAAACATAGATTAAAAGAAAGTAAACTTAAATTGCTAATATCCAGTAATGGCGAATAAAGGGAATAAAACATACTCCCTCTGTTGAGTCTGTTTCACAAAATCCTTTCTCTTTCGTTTTTTTTGCTTTCCACAAAACACTTCCACTTTCTATTAAAAAACCACTTTTACCTTTACTTTTTCATACCCTACCTATCACATCATACTTTTTCACTAATAACCAAACTATCACATCTTACTTTTTCCCATCACATCAGGGGCAAAATTGGAAAGTCAACCAAAATTACACTTTCTTTATTTTTTTCCCCAAAGTCAAAACTGGAAGGGTTTTGTGGAACGGAGGGAGTATTTAGTTTTATTCAGCAAAAACGTACTCCCTCTGTCTCTTTGAACATGAGATGTTTTGATTTTGAATAGATTTAAGGGAAGTGTATTTTGGTATTGAATTTCCAAAAATGTCTTTTGATGTGATAGATAAAAGTAGGATTTGATAGGTAGATTATTAGTAAAAAAAGATATAATATAATTAGGTAAGATATAAAAAAAATAAGAGATACTGAAAGTTGAAAAATGAGTTTTGGAGAGAAGAAATGGCAAAAAATCAATTAACAACCCAACCCGACCGAACATATGAACCAACATTCACTACAGATCATAAATCAATCAAGTCAGAAAAGAAAATATATAGCTTAATTACACTTCTTCACAATTCATTCATGTCTTGTTCTTACACGTTATGATATTTAATTCTATTTAATAAAAGCATTATTAATTAAATAAAGAAAAGAACTAATTAAAGACAATACATATATTTAATTATCAAGTCCACACCATCCGATCCATCCATCGATCTGATCATGCCACCTTCCCTAGTTCTCTCTTCTTCAAGCGCTGCGGTTGTTACCCTCTCCCACGTTCCCTATACAAAAAAAACATTTATTTTCACTTGAACTTTTATGATTTTCAATGTAATAGTTTAACCATTAATATCGATACAAAATATAGTTTATAGGAGAAAGAGTTTTTTGAGATGGCGTATATGTTTTTTTTATATAAAATTTAAAGCAAGTTTCAAATAAGAAAAAATGCGATTAAGATTTGTGATAAAGAGATAAGAGAAATTTACCTAAATAGGACTAAAACATAATGATTTTCCCAATATATTACCATATGTTTTTATTTCCCAATGTAGGATCTTTGGTCATTATCAAGTAGTCATTATTCAACTTAATGTCCATCATTACTGGACATTATTCCTTCCACTAGGTCATTATTAAGTCCTATTTAGGGAATAAAAAAGTTTAAGTCCTACATTAGGAAAGTCATTATGTTTTAGTCCTATTTAGTGCAAATTTCACAAGAGGTAATTGGTCTTCACACAGTTTTAAGAAAAAAGCGTTAAAATGTAAAATGCGGGGCTTGAAATGTGAAAGAAAAAGTTGTGAACCACTCGCACTTTATTTTAAAAAATAAAGAAATACTCCCTCCGTTTCACAAAATCATTCCCATTTTGACTTTGGGGAAGAATAAGGAGAGTATAATTTTGGTTGACTTTCTAATTTTGCCCCTGATGTGATGGGAAAAAGTATGATGTGATAGTTTGGTTATTAGTGAAAAAGTATGATGTGATAGGTAGGGTATGAAAAAGTAAGGGTAAAAGTGGTTTTTTACTCCGTAATAGAAAGTGGAAGTGTTTTGTGGAAAGCAAAAAAAACGAAAGAGGAAGAGTTTTGTGAAATGGATGGAGTAAATAATTAACACAAGGGAAAAAAAATAAACAAAAAATAAAATGTAAACAAAGAAAGAAGCTAGGAAGAAGAAATGTGAACTAATTAAATTAAATTTTACTTCCACGACGAGGGCCAGCATGATTTGGGTCCCTCCACTCCTCCTCAGAGTCACGCACTTCTCCGGAGAGGGAGCTTGAGCTCTCTCCAAGGGAGAAGTTCGCCGGAGAAGAAGAGTTAAGATCAACAAAGGAAGGAGGGGAGGGAGGAGGAAGAGGTTCAGAGTGATGAAGCTCCCCAAATAGCTCAATCACAGTGGGGCGGCGGACGTTGGGGTTGGCCAGCTTCTCCCGCCTGTTCTTCTCGAAGGCCGCCTTCTTCTCCTGGAGGGCCATCATCTCCAGCATGTCATCCAAGGAACAGACGCCGGAATTTGTGGCGCCGGCAGCGACAGCCTGCTGCTGGCGCTTGATCTGGAGGAAGACGGTCTGTTCCTGGAGGGAGAGGACTTCAAAGAACTCTTTCATGGTGTACACGTCCCTCTGTGACATTGTTTGTTGGTTTTGTTGTTTGGGATGGGGAGGGGAGCTTTTGGGTTGGGGTGAAGAAGCACTGTATGGGTGGGGCTGCATTTATAGCTAAGAGGAGACTTGAGAGGCTGAGCTAAATGATGGAGTTTTATTTACTCCCCCCTTCCCCCCCCAAAAAAAAAAAAAAAAAAATCTTTGCATTTTGAAAATATTTTTTACTAGTAATACATTTTTGCTAATATATTTTGATAGATATTGTTGATCAAATATTTGGTTCAAAAAACAAATCAAATGCTCTTCCGTTTCTGAGTATTTGTCTATTTTAGTTTTGACTTTTTGCGATTAAAATTAGTAAACTTTGATCTCAAATGAAATAAAAATGATATTAGATATGTGAAATTTGCACTGAATAGGACTAAAACATAAGTCATTTCCCAATGTAAGACTTAAACTTTTTTATTCCCTAAATAGGAATAAATAATGACCAGTAAGAAGAATAATGTCCAAGTGATACTGGACATTTAGTTAAATAATGACTAATAGATAATGACCAATGGTCCTACATTGGGAAATAAAAACATATGATCCTATATTGAGAAAGTCATTATGTTTTAGTCCTATTTAGGTAAATTACTCATTAGATATTGATACAAAAATCATTCTATTAGATTTATTATACCAAATATTTCTAAAATGTTTTTTAGATCAAATGTTGAAAATAGTTGATAAAAAACCAGAACTGAACAAATATTCATGGAGGGAGGTAGTAGTTAATTTAAGAGAAGGGAGTACTTTTTCTCCGCATTTGGTTTTGTTGACCCTTTTAGCCTTTTGAATTCATCACATTGAGATACTTAATACGGAGTAATTAATCTAATAATTGATTTTAATGAGTACTCTATACTTAAATATGAACCATTGTTAGATTATTTCCAACCACGCTTGTTGTATAGATTTATTATTTTTAAATTAGAGTAATGAAAGAGTAATGTAGTAAGTACTTTTTTTTGTTTCACTCTGTAAATACTGAATAAGAACATTACTGTTGGACGGTACGGTAGAGTATATTATAAGGAGTAACTTTTATCAAGCTCTCTTAATTTATATCAAATGCCTAAGTTTCTCATGGTTAGGTCAACAAGTCAACTATTGGTTGTGTAGCACAAAATCAAATGATTACATTTGACCAAGTCGCATAGCTGGAGTACATATTTGATCAGATTTCTAAAAAATCAGCTAGCCACCTTGATTAAATGGAGATTAAGATAATTGATGAATGTTTTAGTTAAAATTTGTAGAAGTGAAGAAGATAAAGTGTGCTATATGTCTTTTTTTGAAATCAAGAGAAAAGAACTTTAAAAAATCACCCTAAATACGATTAAAAGATAGAGATCAAAACATGAGTTTCATGTTTTTACTTCTTCAATCAGAGTTTATACTGTTGACACTGTACATGTACAATTTACGTAACAACTGATGGACCTCATCATTCAAATCACCGTGTAGAAATGCATTATTAACATCCAACTGATGGACCTCCCAAGACCTGGCAACTGCAACAGATAACAGAATACGCACCGTAGTTAATTTGGCAACAGGAGCAAAAGTATCAGTATAATCAGTGCCATACTCCTGATGATTACCCAATACGACCAACCGGGCTTTGTCTCGTTCCTTAGTACCATCGGATCGAAACTTAGTGCGATATACCCACTGACATCCCAAAGCTCGACGAAACGGAGGGAGATCGGTAATGTCCCACGTATGATTACGCTCTAAAGCCAATAACTCCTTGGCCATAGCCTCACACCAAGATGGAATCTGGACAGCCTCCCGAAAATTTTTAGGTTCCGCACTCTTCGTCATAGCCCCAAGAAAAGCATTGTACCTGTCATGCAATCTATCATAATGAACAAAATTAGTAATAGGGAACCGTGTGCCAGAGACGGAAGATGCAACAGGGGGAAAGGGAACCGGAGTACGCACGAGAGCGGTTTGACAAACGTAATCAGACAAGCGCTAGGGGGGTTGACGAACACGGGAGGAATGACGCAGGGGAGGAGCATCGGCAGTAGGATCTGCTCCAGCAGCCTCTGTTGATGAGACGACAACAGTGGAGGGCTGGGGCTGGTCGCTGGCTGCTGGCAGGGAAGGACGCGACTGTGGAGAGGAAGGGGTTGACACGGGGAGGGAAGTGGCTAAAGACGTGGTGTCCAGGGTGGGAAGAGTGGGGAAATCAGCGGGGGGCGACGGAGATGACGAAGACGGAGACTCCTCTGGTAGGGAAAAGGGAAAAATGGACTCGTCAAAAACGACATCCCGAGTATGAAAAAATTGATGGGTTTCTAAGTTGTATACCCGCCATCCCTTGGTACCAAATGGGTAACCGACAAACACACAACGGACACTACGGGGGGCAAATTTATTTGGAAGTTTTTGACGAACATAACACAGGCACCCGAAGACACGTAGGTGGGTAAGATCACTTGGCTTGGAGGAAAGTATTTCCAGTGGAGACTTGCCATTTAAGAGAGGGGTAGGGAGACGATTTATGAGGTACACTGCAGTTTTGACACACTCACCCCAAAACTCAATGGGAAGAGAAGCCTGAAACATAAGAGCACGTGCCACATTGAGAATATGCCGATGTTTACGCTCAACGCGGCCATTTTGTTGCGGTGTACCGACACAAGAAGTTTGGATTTGGACACCCATTTGATCGTAATAGTCACGAAGAGGTTTGTTGACAAACTCAGTACCATTATCGGAACGGACAATTTTTATTGTTTTCCTGTATTGAGTGTGGATCATAGCAAAGAATCTTTTAAGGCATGATGTTACCTCACTTTTGGTTTTAATAAGATACACCCAGACAGCACGAGAATGATCATCAACAATGGTAAGAAAATAATGTGCACCCATAACTAAACAAGCAGTATATGGACCCCAAATGTCACAGTGAATTAAATAAAAAATAGAAGCAGCTTTATTAGTACTAGTAAGAAACGAAGAACGAGTTTGTTTGGACATAAAACAAATATCACAAGTTTCCAACTTCTTAAAATGAGAAGGGGAATTATTGGGATTGACAAGAGTAGACACTTGGTGAGATGGGTGTCCCAAACGTTTGTGAAGTAAAAGAGGATCAACAGTAGACGAATGAACTTGAGCCAGAGAACCGCATAAAACGTAGACTCCATTACGCAATTCACCCCGTCCAATCTCCGTTTTCGACAAACGGTCCTGTATTACACAAAAAAGTTCATTAAAGATCACATGACAAGCATTATCTCGAATAAGACAACCAACAGAAATCAAATGGCAATTTAGATTCGGAACCAACAAAACACCAGACAACACAAGGGTGGGTGAAAGCCGAACACACCCTTGTTGATACGCATGTACCCGAGAGCCATCAGAGAGACTAATCCCGCACGGGGTAATCTCAGTAACATCAAACATATGGGTTTTATCACCGGTCATATGGTGGGATGCCCCACTATCAATCAACCATTTACTTGCACAAGAAGACATACCCGTGTACTGTGGAGAGGAAGAGGACTCAAGTAAAGACATTAACTTGGCCATTTGATCACTTAAAATGGAGGAAGCATATGTATTGACAGCATGGGCGCCGCCGGATGGAGCTGCTGTGGTATTATTGCCGTGAGAGGCACTGCTAAACCGGGCAGGACCCCTGCCACTGCTGTCACGGCCTCCTGCCTGGTAACCACGACCGGATGAAGTTCGGCCCCCTCGACCACGTTGCATACCACTACGTCCTCCTCCACGTCCGAAGTGTTCCGGAAAACCAATAAGTTCAAAACAAGAAGCCGGTCTCTCCACATTTAAAAGATTGAATCCAATCGATTAGTTAGTTCAACTTAAGAGCTTATATACCGATTATTTTTCTCACACTTTTCCGATGTGGGATACTCTTAACACTCCCCCTCAAGTGGACAACCGGGCCATTTTGAATCTAACCGGTTGACCACTTGCAAATGAACTCCCATTCCCTTGACTTTTTTTTGAACGCCAACACCTTAAATGATCACGAGCCGCTGGGTATGGACTTCCAGACGAGCAATCGTGTTAAACGGGCCACAGGTCGTTGGGTACATACTCCATACGGACAACTGGGCTAAAGACTAACATAACGGGCCGCTAGGAATGAACGTCTAGACGGACACCTTGACAAACGAGATGGGCTAAAACTGGCTCTGATACCATGTAGAATTTTAGAATATTAACTTTTGGTTGTCTTCTAATTACATCACAAGTGTTTATATATACATGTACAATGGGTCAAGGCCCAACAACAATTTTGGGCTCATACTAAATAATACAACAAAGAATATAATTACTCCAATAGTACATAGTCATGATTGGTATTGTATATACATTTTCATTTTTTTCAGAAATAAAAAATGGAATTCTTATTTTGATATATTTTCAATATTTTACTCCTATTTTAGTCTTTTCCTCTTTATTTTGAACAAAAAAATAGTTTTGGATAAATAAAAAGGAAAAATGACTATACAACCATGTACTCAAAATGATGTATTCAAAAGAAATCAAGATTTCGAGTTTGTTCTTTTTAATTTATTTTTTCTACATATTATTCATTCTTAGTACAATTAAAAATAATTTTAAATATAATTATAATTAGATGAGACTAGATTGAATGAGATAAGTATCGAGAGGTTCGATTTAAAAGGCATATGTTTGTGTCATTTTCTATTTGGATTGTACCCCCTCCCTCCCATTACCGGTGGCGGACCCAGCATGAATAATAGAGAGTAGGTTGTTTCCATTTTAATAGTCCTTCCCTCCATATTTTAATACAAAATTAGAATTATGATGTACTTGGTCCGTCCCTGAGTGTTTGTCCACTTTTGACTTTTGGAACTGTTCATCTAAGCACTTTGACTTATCAAATTCTCTCAATGTGTAAGCCTAAAAATAGTCATGTGTGATCTTGTTTGATTCGTCTTAACATATAGATTATTAATATATAATTTTTATAATTTTTTAATATAAAAATTACGAGATAAAATGGATTAAAGAAGTGCATTGGATGGTGTGCAAAAATGAAAGTGGACAAACACTCAGGGACGGAGGGAGTAATTTTTTTGGAAATTTTGAAATTATTTTATTTAAGAATTAGTATATCAATAAAAAATAAAAATTATGTATTACAAAACTACGTTCAAAGTTCTACAAAACAAGAGATGTTAAAATATTTTATTTTATTAAATAATTAATAAAAAATATATAAATAAACAAAAATTATCGAGAGAAGAGAGAAAATAGTATTATAATCAAAATGGAGACAGAAGAAATATACTATCAATGTTCCATATAAAAAATTATATGTAATTTTTAATATATGTAATATACGTATATAAAAATAGGACTTTCATTTTTTAAACCAATATAATAATTCTCTTTTATAATATTTCATCTCTTATTTTTTTTATTTTTATGATCGACTGCTATCCTTTTTTCTTATTTATTCACTTTAATTATAATTAATACGAGTATAACTTTGATGTAGTTTGTGCTTCTCAAAATAAATTATTAAATTTTACTTTTTGTTGCATGTAAATTGGGCATTTTTTCATGACAACAAATAATAAATATCATGATGAAAAGGATCGATACATTGTATTTAGAGAGTACTTAGGCTTCGTTTGGTACACAGAATTCAAACAATTGAATTGGAATTGAAGACTTCAATTTCAATTCTGATATTTGATAGCACAAAAATTATGTGGATTTGGAATTGATAGTTCAAAAATGAATTGGAATTGGTAAAATTCAATTCTATGGAATTAAATCCCATGGAATTTCAATTCCAATTCAATTCCAATTCTGTCAATTCCATATACCAAACGGACCCTTAATTTAAATTGAAAAATTCAAATGATTGTTAAGAGTGAGATTCAAATCCTTAACTTGTTCATAATAAATATAGGACGCTAAGAAATAGTGTATATATTTCTAAAAGAAAAGAGAGAATGTTGCGTCAAAAAAAGAAAAAACCAAATCTACCACATCACGATGAGTTTCAAAATACGGACTCCATCACAATTCACAAGTGATGTGCGTGTCCAATCACTAAACTACACGCAGTTTTGTTCTAATGATAATTTACGCTGTACTTATAGAGAATTTAAATGTGTCACTTGATTTTATTAGATCGTATGTAGGTCCACCCTTGCCCATTACATAATTTATCAATTTATTTTACGTAAAGTAATACAAATTTAAAAATAGTTTTGATTTTCATATTTATCCCTAAAATTATTTTGATTTGATGTAGATTAGAATAAAGCTTTGTTTTTTTGGGTTGGAAGAAACTGGAACGATTTGGAAAACGTTAAATAATTTAAGTGTTAAAACGTCACCCAATTAAGGGAACACCAAAATACCTATATGCAAGAAAACTTTAATTTTGGATGAAAAGAATTTATCATTGTTTGTGTGATGTGGTATGTTATAATTAGAATATATAATATTATTTTATATTCATAATATATAAATAGATTTTTTAAGTCATTGTTGAAAGAAATTGAAAGGAGTTAGAAGAAACAAGAAGAATTTAAAAGAAATTGAAAAAAGTTGGAAGTTAATTTTTTCAATCTAAAACAACTGAGGCTAAGATAGAGTGTAATATGAGTGAAAAATAAAATTTAAACAAATAAAAAATGATTGAAAATTGTAGGCTCTTATACTCTTCTTTTTTAAATTTATTTTCTAATTTTTTAGAACTCAAGTTTTGATTAGGTTTGAAATAAAAAAAATTAAAAATTAAAAATATATACTCCTATCGCAAATTAGACATTTTCATTTTTTTTTGTTTTTTCAAGAATTAAAAAAAATATGAAGTTCAAAAAGGCAAATATTGAATAAAAAATAAAAATATTGAAAAACAAAATGAAAAAAATTAGAACATATAAAAAATACTCTTATACAAAAATATATCTTCGAACATCAAAAAATTCCTTAGAATTGTGATGTCCAAAAAAGATACTCCTTTTATTTATTTATTTTATTTCATTTTCTATTTTATTCCTCATTTTTTGAAATACCAAAAAAAATTAATTTTTATTTTGAAAAATAAATACTTCGTATTTTTTTAAATTTGAGACATAGAGATGCAGTATATGTTAATTATTTTTTATTTCAAACAAAACATTTTTAAAGAGTTCTTGTTTCTTTTACAAGAGTTCTTTTACAACATTTTTACAAGAGTTCTTTTACAACAGATTTTATAACATTTATAGCTTACAATTGGATAAGTTTTAAGAGTTCTTGTTTCTAAACCTTTTAATTTTTTAATATGTAAAGTTAATTTTTTAATTTCACATAATCAAACATCATAAATAAAAAAAAAAACTACCAAGATAGAGAGAATGGAGTAATAAGCACAACCGCCTTTAATAATCCTTAATCCTTATGTAACCCGTAAAACAAGGGTGCGTTTAATCTTAAAAAAAAACCCAGGCGATGACGATGAAACGGCCGGATCTGACCCATCGCGCCTAGCCCCACTCCCTCGTTTGTTTGTTGGTTGTTGATAGTGACGGTTGAAGACGTCACGCTTTTATTTTCATTTTCTTCTTTTTCATTTTTCCCGCCACCTTGGTTTTCTTTTTCATCTTTTTAACGCAGCCGTTACAGCTTCATGGTTCTCTTTTTCATTTCTCTATGGCAGCCGTTACACCTTTTTCCCGTTTTTCTTTGCATTTCCGGCACACGTTACAAATATTTTCCGTTTCTTCCCTTTTCCGGCAGACATCACAATATCTTGTCATTCTTCTTCATTTTTTACGGCAGAGGGTTGTTAATTATACCAGAGGTATACTATACCTGCATGTTTTAATTAATTAAAAGAAGGATTAGTGGTTTAATAATTAAGATGAAGAAGAATAAAGAACTAGATGTCATTTCCTCTATGTTTCGTGCAAGATCGGAGCAAGGTTGGTGCAGATACGCACTTCTCCGGAGCTCTCTCCAATGGAGAAGGTCGCCGGAGGGGGAGAGGTAGGATCAGCGCGGTCGTCGTGATCAACAGGGGAAGGAGGAGAGGGAGGAAGAGGTTCAGAGTGATGAAGCTCCCCAAAGAGCTCAATCACTGTGGGGGCGGCGCACATTGGGGTCGGCTATCGCCTCCCGCCACTTCTTCTCAAAGGTGGCCTTCTTCTCCTGGAGGGCCATCATCTCCTGCATGTCCTCCTGGGAACACGCGCTAGAGCCTGCGCCCGCTGCTTGCGCTTGATCTCGAGGAAGACGGTCTGTTCCTGAATGGAGAGGACTTCAAGGAACTCTTCCATGGTGTATACCTCTCTCTCTCTCTCTCTGTGTGTGTGTGTGTGAAATTGTTGGTTGGTTTTGTTGTTTGGATGGATGGGGAGGGGAGCTTTAGGGTTGGGGTGAAGAAGCAGTGTACGAGTGGGGTTGCATTCATAGAAAAGATGAGACATGTGAGGGTAGCATGTTTGAATTAGTTAAAACAAAGAAGAATAAAGAACTAGTGAGTATGTCATTTCCTCTGTGCGTGTTTCGTGCAAGATTGGAGCAAGGTTGGTGCAGGTACAGAGCAAGTTGTGATTTCAATTGAAATTGTATACGTGAATTTAGAGGATGACTTTATGTTGCACGAATCTTAAAAAGAAAGATAGTAAGAGATACTAGAAGCTAAGAGTCTCGTAAAAAACTCAATCTTACTTCTCCACACTAATGTGAAGATAGTAAGTTTTATATTCTTTTTCATTCATTTGATGCTTCACTAGTGTTTCCAAACAAGGACTAACACAAACTTTTAGATAAACGCCTGGGGGAATTGATTTAAACATATGGATTCGAGTATGGCATGTGATGTGAATGGTTAAAGTATATACACACATGACTTAATTTACATGATCTAAGATCTTAGCAAATCTAGTTCTCATAAAGCTCAAACGCAGATTCAGTCTGTTCTTTTTATACAGAGTAATAAAAAGTAGCGAATTAATCGAATTACCGAATTTAGACCAATACGGATGACTGTATT